ACAAAGTTCTTCAATTGTGGTACTGCAAAGGCTTTTTTTTCTTTTTTTAAGATCGATCATGTCTCAATTTAAAATGTTATAGCTTGCAATAAAACCCAGCATTATTCTTGATTTTACTTTTTTTAAATAACATTAAAAGCAGAATTTCATCAACTCCTCTGTATTATACAACTTTTAATCTGTCCAAGTATAATTACTGCTTTCCTGAAAGAAGAAGGGATCACCTCATTTATTATTAGCATGCCAACTGCAGATTTCTTTGCTCATTTCACTGTCTCCTTGTTGCTTCTTTTTCTTTTGAGTTACTTTTAATTTTTAAATTAGTATTTTTAACACCTGGACACATCTCTCTCCCTCAGCAAGAATGAGTTCACAATTTGTGAGTTATATTTGCACTAACATGCACTCAAGAAGCTCAGATCATCTCCTCCAAATACAAGAGATAAAGAACTATTCCCCAGCTGGACCAAGATGCTGATATACAAGGCTTGGGTCCTCAAAAACTTGCTGAATGGCACAGAAGCCTGAGTAACTCACACCTAACAAGATTAAAAGTTTAAGAATTTTGATTTCTGGCGTTTACGTCACAACTTTGCTATTTAAAAAAAAAGTCAAATTCACCAACAAAACAGTCTTTAACAGGTCCAACATGTCACGTTTACTTGTGCTAATCAAGCAAATGAGGCTTCATTAGCTAGGACATGTGCATAGATTGGAAAATGGCTGCATCTCCACGCTAAGGTAGCCCATTGCAAGAAACCAGTAGAGTGCCCAAAAGTCTGATAAAACTGACATGAATGCCTTCACATCAAACATAAGTGAGAAATACAACGGTAGCCTGGAGTTCACTACCAGACAATGAGTGGCTCCAGGAACATCAAAACAGATGCCAGCCCTACAAATAAGGAGGCGGCAAAGATCATCCTACAACATTGATAAAGGCCAATTTCACGTGTGGCACTTGTAGTAGAATAGGTTGTTCCAAAATTAGTTTGACCAGTCTTGAAAAGTGCAGACTATCTCATTCAACTTCAAGAAAGATCTGAGGCTGCATTCCTATCATCTCACACAGAGGGAAGTATGCCAACAAACCAGATTTATAATGCAATATTCACCAATAAATTTAAAGTTAGTTAAGGAACTACAAAAATTAATATTTCCATAAAATGTGCATTCTGCTTACCAACAGGTTTGATGCAGGTTTTTTGTGCTTTATCACATTTGAAATCTTTTGGACAGCAGTAGTGGTCATCACAGCATACTGCCTGTAAACAGAACGATACTCGATGATAACATTTTCAGTAGGCATGCCATGTTTCAGAAAGACTTGATTATCTGAAATAAATTTGCTTAAGTTGTCCCAAAACTATCAAACCAAAAGTTAACATGAAAAGAAGATACCAGAAATCCATGATGGCACATCCTGTTATGGGCATGAAGCAAGTATTATTTTGGGCTATTCCAACAGCTTCTATAAACTTTCACGTATGTGGTCCCCAACTTGTGATGACTGGACTATCAATTCTGTAGAACTCCATTCAGTCAGTATTCCATCATTCAGAAAGTAAACAACTGCACGACTTGCAAGTCGTGGAGAGGTGGCCGTGTAGCTGCTATGCAACTGGACTAGTAATTCAGAGTACCAGACTAACGTGCTAGAAACATGCATCCGAGTTCCACCATGGGAAACGGTGAAAAATGAATTCAATACAAGTCTGAAATTAGAAAGGAGCTAATCTAATGGAGTAAAGGTCACTAAAACAAAAAAATTAGCCAAAGTAAATCATCCATCCTTACTTGGTCTGTATATGACTCCAGATCCACTGCAATGTGGTGGACTCTTAATTGCCTTCTGAATGGCATGGCAGGCAGTTCAAAGGTCAATTAGAGATAGGCAACAAATGAATGAATTTAAAAAAGCTTTCAATTTGATCATTCCTGATTTGCCCTTAAAGTTGACATTATTTTAAACATTTTGGTTTATACTTTTGCTTTAATTCACTAAAATTTAAGTGTTGACTCTTTAAGATGATCCTGAACTTTGCCTGAACCCACAGTCGCATCAATCTGAATAAAAATTGTACAACTATTATTTCTGGACATGAGCCATACATTCGGTAGCAGTATGTTTAAAATTGGTAATCAATGATTCGTTGTGATGTGAAACATTAAATGAACCCAGTCCAGTTCTCCAGGCTTGGGGGGTGGTTGGTTCATTTCTGCTGTTTTACACAGGTGATCATTAAGTAAATCCTTCTGTGAGCATTTAAATCTTGTCCTTGAAATGGAACTAGCTGTAATATCAGTAAAGAATTGTTACATAGCTAGCTGGGTTTCCTGCTGCTCTTTTAACGCAACAGAGATGAGGCGTGGTTATGGTTGGAGGCTATCTTGGAGCCAATAGATTATCACAACGCATGTATAAAATGGGCAAGCAAAGATCCTTCTTGGTCTACCATGCTCTCACTTGCAAGCACCTTCATTTAGACAGAGGTCACAAACTACACTGGAGTTTCCTCTGAATTTCAGGAATGCCACCATATTTCTATTTTCAGTTGGAGGGAGGTCAGAGTGCCATAACACACAGGAGCACATAACCTGCCAATAATATTCAAGTGTGTTATGTTTCATATAGCTAAACAGAATTTGCACCCTAGAGTATATTTTTCGACAGAAAATGTTTTGGGAGAGTGGGCTAAAAAGATTGACTTTTGAGTGCCAATTTTAAAAAAAATGAAAAGCATTTGCTCAGACTGCATCCATCTGGAGCAAGTTTATTCCAAACAGTTACTGATGCAGTTATACAGGTCAACAGCGATTAGAAGAATCATTTATCACTCCAACAGCTCCTCACAAATATCACTAACATACAGGGGTGGAATGTCTAATTCAATGGAACTTTGTATTAACCTATTCTCAGAGAGAGGGAGTGAGGCATGTTTGAGCAACAGCACTTCTCACCAACCCCAGGAAGGGGTAACGGAGGAAACAAAAGGTTCAGAAGACAAGCTTCAAATTATTCTGTGGACAGAAAAGAGAGCCACATCTCAGCAGTTTTTAAAAATAGAGATGAAACTCTAGAAAGGCTAAAGGAGCAATAAATGTTTTAATTAAACAGTTAAAGGACACTTCAGGTCAAACAGATCATCCAATTTTGGGAAAAAATATGATTGTACTTTATTCTGCCCCATCACAGATAAGCTGGTTTGATTGAATTAAATTCTAAGCCTATAGCAGCATTTGTTTAGTCAACCTTAGAGAATAAGTACACTTGTGAAAGGCTCAAATACAATCTGAAGTCACAGAAGTACTATCCTGTTTTGATACACTTCTGGTTTGCACTACTGCACATTTAGATATAAGGAAAAGATTCAACAGCCATAAAATTAAAATGCTAAGATCATCCACTGGAGCTATTACATAAGAAGTTCCCAAAAGAGAACAATTTTCAACTCAAGAAAATAAGATGACAACACAGATCTAATTCATTATTCTGCATCAATATATAGTTCCATCCATTTGGCAGTACTAATTGGTTTCATCAACACTTAACTAGTTTACAAAGACAGTGCATAAAGTGATAAGGGGACTCAGGGCTTACATCTTTCATAGGACAGCAACCCCAGCCAAGATTCTTTGACTTGCAACAGGTGTATCCCCCAGAACAGGTCATATTCCCACAAAGCTCACTATTGGCAGTACGCAAGTTGTCTACTGCAGAAACCAGTGGCAACTTGTCTTCCGTTGCTCCTGTTCTTTTGCATTTGGCTTCAATCAGGTCACATTCATATCCCTTTGGGCAACAATGCTCCCAATCCTTGCAAATATTTGCCTGTGACCAGAGAAAAAAAACAAAGATACATTTTCATAATGTTCAGACAATAAAAAGAAATGAACAGAGAAAATGCATAATTTATACTAAATTAATGAAAAATCGGAATTCCATAGACCTCGGATAAAGAAGTCACTATCAATGTGAACAGGTTTATTAGGTTTTAACATTTTAATTAAATTTCTGTTCACACAAAGTTAATTCATCTTTAAGTTACATGGCATAAACCGTTTAAAAGTTTGATTATTAAATACAAACATACAATTAAAGATCATGAGAAAGCAACTGCTAAAAATTAACTATGCTATGTTACCTCAGTGAATGGGCAGCAACCATAAAAGCCTTTTGATGTGGGCATACAAGTGTATTCAGGCGGACATTCAGTGTTATCCAGACAGATATTTTCAGTCAATGCATTTGGTGTTCCTGCCTGAACAAGCAGGGTGGCTTTTGCTTCTTTCCACTAGAATCAGATAAACACGTGAAACAGAATGATTCTCCTTACTCTTGGGCACTGTACTAATGAGCTATGGTTTGTATTTAAAAAGATTTAAACCACACTCGAGCCATACAAAATTACAATATTGCAACTGTTTTCAGGATCTTATTCAGAGTGGCACACACCAATATAACGCCAAAAATAAATGCCCAAAGGACATAGACTAAAAGCTAAACACTAACTTCCAGTAGAGCCAACAATTGATGAACAGATGCAAGAGTTGCATTCTGTCATTATTTTTAATCACATACAAAATAGCTTTTCATCTTTTAAAGATGGAGGTATATAAAGATCTTATCATTTATTATTGATTGTGGACTGAAGTAGGAGAAAGACTGTTTAAAAACAGAGGATTGTGGAAGGAATTGCTGCACTTTTAAAAATATGTTGTGGAAACTGTGGGACATTTACACTGCTACTTTATTCAAGCAGTAGGGAAATTGTGGATTTCACGTTACCAGGGGTATGGAGAGTGAGATTTGGCAAGCATCACATAGCTGGTTAGTTTGTGATATTGTGACAAGTCATGGATGCCAAAGGTCATCAGCTTAATGATGATTCTAAATGGTTCTCTGGGGAGCAAAACACCTTGTGGGTTCGAAAGGTACAGCAAAAAGCCTCTAGATCTCTGGAAAGGCAGACTATATCCCTCCCTTTCTGCAAGCTAGATATTTTCCCCAACAGTTACTGTGAGCTGTTGCCTTTAACCGGTAACTAAAAGACTTCGCAGTTGATGTACCAATCATCCTGTGCCTCCTGCAATGTGATGAAGGAATCCAAAGAAAAGAGACTGAAGAACAGAGAGCTTTAGCAAACCAAAAGAATCATCTCCTTTTGGCCTGGTACTTATGGCCTGAGGTTCCCAGTTTTTTTCTTCCACCCAAAAAACCAATGTTATTTTTGATTGTCTGTATGAGGAAGTAAGAGTATTGTGTGGTTAGAGCTTTAACTTCTTGAGACACGTCTTCTTAACTGAACTCTCGCATCCCAGTAAGCGTTCTAGTAAACCTATTCAGCACTTTCTTCTCCAGATGAAAGTCAATGCAGTGAAATACTACTGTCAATCCTCACAGTTTACAATGTTTCAAAGTTTCTTTTCATCAACAAACTTGGAAATTTTGTACCAGGCTTACCAATCAGAGCTAGAAAATTACTGAAAGCTTTTTGAAGTCAGTAAGGGTACTGGGAATATAAATGCTGCTGAGATTAGTTTAATTGGAGCATTTCTAAAATTAGATTAATAGATTAGCTTCATCAACATAACAACAAACGTGCAACAGGATTCAGTTAAGTTTAGTTATGACACAGATCAGCTCTAATCTAATTAATTACTGGAACAGGTTAAGGGGGTTGCGTGGCCTACTCCAATGCCCATACCTAGCTAATTCACCTACGATAATATTATCTCTATTTAAAAATTAACTGCATCAGAAATTACCACTTGTTGAATGCTGATGGAAGTAAGTTGGCACACGGAAGAAGGAACAAAACCGGTAGCCGAAAAATTCCTGCATCTCTCAATGAATGGCAGCCACCATTTTTTAGAATACCCTTCGCCTGTTTCATGTCCACGGAAATGATTTAGGAAAAAAGGCAGGGTGCTCTACAGAACATCTGAGACCTAAGCATTCAGAACAAGCAAACTTAATTCCTTAATCAGATTTAACAATAAAATGCTGTTCACTTCAGCTGTGAAGTGATGAAGGAACGTGGTTTCAAACTTGTTAATTTTCAGTGCCAGAGAACAGTTGGCATTTATATTTCGAATGTAAGGTTCACACAAGCAGTTGGGAGAGAACACATCCTGAATGAGAAATAGCCAGAGTAAGTGTATATTTCTAGAAATTTGGAGCAGTCACAATTTACAGACAGGAACAGGTTCTTTCAGCTCTTTTTGTCCCCCTGTGGTGTATAACTTGTAAAGACTTATTTTTGACGAGAGAGGAGAGATATTTAAAAAAAAATCATAGAATTACAGAATCCCTACAGTGTGGAAACAGGCCAATAGGTCCAACAAGTCCACACCGCCCCTCTGAAGAGCATCTCACCCAGACCAACCGCCCACCTTTTCACTATAACCCTGCAGTTCCCAAGCTTAATCTACCTAACCTACACACCCCCACATACAGGCAATTTAGCATGGCCAATCCACCTAACCCGCAAAGCTTTGGACTGTGGGAGGAAACCTACACAGACAGGAAGAGAATGTGCAATGCAATTTTTCTTTACACACACAGGTGGCTTGCATGGGGAATGAACTTCCTCAGGAAGTCGTGGTTGTGGTACAATTACAACATTTAAAAGCCATTTGGATAAGTAGACGAATAGGGAAGGTTTGGAGGGATATGGGCCAGCAGCAGGCACTTGGGATTAGTTTAGTTTGGGATTATGCTCAACATGGGCTAGTTGGACCGAAGGGTCTGTTTCCGTGCTGTATGACACTATGACTATATTTTTTAGTAACAAGGATCAGGGAATAAAGGCCCCAGTGCAATTCATACCATTTGATATTAAGCATTTTCCAAAAAATTTAAAGTGGTACATCATAACAGGAGAGCTCTTCCTGCTCTACGAGAGAAGCTGGGAACATTGTCAGCGCCCGGGGCAGGGTGCGTGCAGGAAGTGTCTCCAGCTGCAGCTCCTGGAAGAGGCCAGAACGGTGACTGTGGACAACGCAGAGCATCCATGAAGCAGATAGCATCATGGATAGAGGGCAGCCATGGTATTCAATAAACAGGTTGTACCTCCTTAATCCTGTGCTCTGGTCTAGCAATTGCAACACATCCAGTTTTCACGACATGAAAAACTCAAAAACAGATCAAAATACATTGGACAAACCAACTGCAAGTCAATCAAAATGAGGGAAAGTGGTCACCAGTCCTCTACAAGTGCGCTAACACTGCAGCTGAATAGTCCAATGATGGCCACCATTACAGGCTCACAGTCGGAGATGGATCCTGCAAGTTGGCATCTTCAGAATAGTAGAGCAAGGACAGGAATTAGGAAAGAAATGGTTTCAAAACTCCAGTGCTGACTTACACACAAACTCCCATGGCCCAGAAAAATCTTCTGGTGTGGCTAAGGTCTGTTCCAGAGGCTAAAGGATTGCAGATTAAATGAATTGCACACAAAACAAGTTAGCCTCGCCATTACCTTTGCCAAGAAAAATTTGAACCATTACTTTTAATATTTGAGATATCAGGCTTGTCTCAGGCAGCCATTGTTTCAGGTTTATCAGATCTTGCAGACTTAAGGCTCAGGCTATGCAAGACAGCTTTATAAACAACACATCTGCCAATATTTCATTTCGACTGCGTGTCGAAACCTGTTTTTGGGAATTTTCAAATGTAGGGGTTTTCTTTCAGAGAATTTTACTTCCTATTTTAAATGTGGAAGCAACTGAGAGAGATCAAGCACAGTGGTATCAGAGGTTAAGCTTCAGGAGCTTTTGGAATGAGATTTTAAATACTCAACATTGTATTTTAAATAAAATACAGTTAGTTAAGGACTATGCAGCTAGTTTCATGATATTTACATCTATCAATACTAAATACTCATACAAAAGGAGATAGCGAGAAAAGAGACCAGTCTGAGACTGGTGCAGTTGGGAAAAGAAGCATGTCGAACATTCAAGGCAGGCAGGAAGAAAGCAGGAAACGAGGTAGGACTGATAGGCTTTTTGCATTGAAATAACCGCAATTTAATCTAACAGGTAAGGCAGATGAACTCAGGGCATAGGTGGGAGCATGGGACTGGGATAGCATAGCGATTACAGAAATGTGGCTCAGGGACGGACAGGACTGGCAGCTTAATGATTCAGTATGTTGATGTACCTACTAGAGAAGGAGCAAAACTTGACCTACTCTTAGGAAATAAAGCAGAGCAGATGACTGAGGTGGCAGTGGGGGAGCACTTTGGGGCCAGTGATCATAATTCTATTAGTTTCAAAACAGTGATGGAAAAGGATTGATCGATTCTAAAAGTCAAAGTTCTAAATTGGAGGAAGGCCAATTTTGACAGTATTAGGCAAGAACTTTTCAAGGTTGATTGGGAACAGATATTCGCAAGTAAAGGGACGGGTGGGAAGTGGGAAGCCTTCAAAGATGAGATAACAGGAGTCCAGAGACAGTATGTTCCTGTTAGGATGAAGGGCAAGGCTGGTAGGTGAGGGAATGCTGGATGACTAGAGAAATTGAGGTTTTGGTCAAGAAAAAGAATGAAGCATACATCGGGTATAGACAGCAGGGATCGAGTGAATCCCTAGAAGTGTACAAAGGCAGAAATATACTTAAGAGGAAAATCAGGAGGGCAAAAAGGGGATATGACCTTTGGCAAATAGGTTAAGAAGAATCCAAAAGGATTCTACAAGTACATTAAGGAAAAAAGGCTAACTAGGGAGAGAATAGAACCTCTTAAAGATCCGCAAGGCCACCTATGTGTGGAACTGCAGGAGATGGGGGAAGATACTAAACGAGTATTTTCTATCAATGCTTACTGAGGAAAAGGATATGGAAGATAGAGAACTTGGGGAAATAAATAGTGACATCTTGAAAAATGTCCGTACTACAGAGGTGGTGGTGCTGGATGTCTTAAAATGCATAAAAGGTGGATAAATCTCTGATCAGGTATATTCTAGAACTTTGTGGGAAGCTATGGGCCCCTTGCCGAGATATCTGCATCATCGATAACCACAAGTGCAAGGAGACTGGAGGTTGGCTAAAGTGGTGCCACTATTTAATGGTAAGGAAAAGCCAGGGAACTATAGACTGGTGAGCCTGACATCAGTGATGGGCAAGTTGTTGGAGGGGATGCTGGGGGACAGGATTTACATGTATTTGGAAAGGCAGGGACAGATTAAGGATAGTCAACATGGCTTTGTGCGTGGGAAATAGTATCACACTAACTTGAGTTTTTTGAAGAAGTAATGAAGAGGATTGATGAAGGCAGAGCGGTAGACGCGATCT